ACACATAAGACAGCTCAATCGACACGTCTGGATACAGCCATTAAAGTGGACCTCAACTACCCAGTTGAAGCCCACAACCTAAATGTTGGCCCCCTTAGCCCATTTTGAAATAGACAAGGACCACAAAGTTTTGGACCCTACAAAGTTATTCTAACCTTTAGCAAGCTTTTAACGTTATCTGTGGCCCACACAGCCAACCACCGGTGTGAATAGATAATACCCTGTGGGCTCGTTTAGTTGTCGTATTAAAAATGAGTGAATTGGATAAAATAATATAGTCTAATACAATACAGATAAATAAAATACTAGATTAAATACGATATTAGAATAATAGATAATTTTATTTAGTATTTAGCAATACACAATTGACTCGTTTGGTAAATATATTATGAGGGAATTAAATATTAGATTGTATTATTTTTTATTTAATCGGGCATAATACTTTGTTTGGTAAACAAATTTGATACCGTAAACGTATATTAATCGTATACTTATAATATATTTTTTATATTATAACTCTGTATTATGGAACTTTTTTAATACCACCAAGAGGTGGTATTATAATTCAACTCAAACGTATTATTCTACACATTTACTATTATAACTCTTTAACTGATAAAATCAAGTTGTCATTAACATAACAAAAAATAATTGATGATATTTTTGTTAATTCAACATTAATACGATAAATTAATTCTCTAACCAAACAACTGATTAGATTAAATAACTACTATCCAACACTTATATTTTGTATTACCAAGCACTTGATAAAATTACGTATTATTCTAATACTATATTTAATTTTGTCTTTTGTTTTTCAGTATTGTATTAAATTGTATTATTATATCTTATCCATCAATTTCTAATACGGAAACCAAATGAGCCCAATATTATTATTGAATAGTAGTTATTTAATCAAATCGGTTGTTTGATTAGAGAATTATTTCTTCTTATTAATATTGAATTAACAAAAATATCCTTAATAAGTGTTTGTTACATTAATGACAACTTGATTTTATCACTTAAGGGTTATAATAGTAAATGTGTAGAATAATATGTGTTGAGTTGGATTATAATATCACAACATTTATCATATAAAAAATATACGATAGATATACGTTTTTAAAATTAATAAGGTATCAAATTTGCTTACCAAACAAAATATTATGTTAGATTAAATAAAAAATAATACAATCTAATATTTAATTCTCTTATAATACGTCTACCAAACAAACCCCGTATTGTGTTCCAACTTGAGTTTTCTAAGATTTTAATTGACAAGTTTTTATTGGCCTGAATTTATAAGGCACAAAGGTCGAGCAGATAGAACTCAAGTGATAATAAAAATGAATTATAAATTCAGATATTTTTAATTTAAATATTGACAAGTTTTTTTTGGGGTCAGGTAATGAGGGATTTATCTCTCATGAATATCTTAATTCCGGTGCAGATGACCTTCTTTTGATCGGATCAAAAAAAGATTAGTAGAGGTACGAATAAGCTGACTCGAACAACATTAATCGCTGAACCAAAAAAACAAGGTTGAACAGATAGTAAAACTAATTTTATTAAGTTTTCAAAATATTCAAATTATACAAATAACGCATAGTTCGATTCAATCTGATTTATTTATAAATCGTCCATTTTGTTTTAATAAAAACTATTTATAATTTTATGTTTTATAGTGAATTTTCGTAGCTACAGTTTATCCATGGAAATAACTTCTAGAATCGAACCACATATGTTTCCAATATAATTTACATTTAAGACAATTCCAATAAAAAGGAAAAATAAAATAAAATTATGATTCGTTTTCTTATAGTTTCTAACAATAAGAAATAAGAGTCAGGATTGAAATTGTTAGTATTGTTTAACAATAAAAATAAAAATAAAAATAAATACCGTCCGAGAAAAAAAAACAAAATTAAAAAAATTAATTGTTTGATATTAAACCAAAGTCATTCATCAATTAATAACTAATGCAATTATTGAATCATTAGACAAGATGTTTTGGGAAAATCACCATAATTGGGCAACACTTGCTTGATTGGAAAGCTTTTGCTTGGTGAGAAGAACTAATCATTTAACATTATTATCTCAATTTAATCTCTAAAATTGTGTAAAATTTAAGAAATTAGTCCATTTTGTGGAATTTTCTTTAAAAAAAAAATGAAATATTACTTCACAACACTTGTTTCAATTTGTCCCCCAAATTCTATTTTGTTTCATTTCTTGTTTTATTAGAAAACCCGAGATTACAGGAGTGATTACTATAATTTATACAAATGAATACCTAAATTAAGATAATTAAAAATTAAAAATTAAATTAAAACTCGTGTCAAATTCGGGGTATAAATGTAATATTTACCATAAAAGTTTGTTACAAGAGATTGTGTCAAGTTGTCAACTAAGCATATTGACCGAGAGGGTAATATTTTCTTCTCAAAACAATCATTGATTTGTCTCAAGTGTTTATTCCTCAAATGGATAGTGATTACAAGGGTAGGGCCACAAGCCCCCTCATGTATATGACCACTGTGACAGAAATTTGTCATTGGTGTGTGACGTGGTTTGCAATTGAAGCAACAAGAAGACAATGACAACTAGGAAAATCCTTTCCTCAATCATTTAATTCATTATTTCTCGTATTAAATTTTTTTTACGGATGATTTGTTTTTCGGTCATTAGTCGTTGTCGGGGATTGAATCTTGTCGGGGATTGAATCTTAGCGTAATGACAAACTTATTTTATTTTGAAAAAAAAATATACATGATCAAGGTAGGAAAATAACAACGTAGTCGTTTCGTAACAATAATTTCGTATGCTGTTCTACTTCTATAATTGATTAGAATTCCCAAATGCTACGAAGAGAGGTATGAAATAAAAAATTGTATTAAATTATAAATTAATTAAATATTAAATAATTAAATATGTGATAAAATTGAGTGATCTGATATTTTTTAGAAAAAAAATATGTAGGAGATAAAATTCAATTTCGTATGTTTTTTATCATATAGATGTAGATGTTAAGACCATAACAATTATACATATTAGACAAATTATACTATCATAAATGGGTCTACAATGGGTTAAGTCGAGTTTGTGTATGATTTATGTCATTTTGTTTTAAATATATTAATTAATCAAATTAAAATTAGGTTAACACGATTTTGACTTGAATGAAATATGATTTTTTTCATGTTTAAGCATGTTGACTCGTTTTAACTCGTTTAATTTTATGTTCGACTCATTAATTTCGTGTCCGACTAACGTGTCGTATCGGAAATTATAATCCTAACTATGAGTTCCCACCAAACGCTTTGATGATGTTGAGGACTCGTACCATATGGTCCAGGCAATGCATTATTGATTGCACCCAGAAAAATCATTATCATTTCTATTATTATTAGTTTATTAGTTATCATCATGAACATAGTCAACCTTTCTTGATAAAGATGTCTTGGACTTGAGTAGAAGATAAGACTAATAATTCTACTATATGAAAAATAAATACAACTTTAGATTTAATAATATTAAATATTTTATTTGATAAAAATTTGACTTTTCAACAAAAAATGGGCTTTTTTTTTAATCTTGATTGATAAAAGGCAAAGGACATGAAATAATTGAAGAAGACGAAGTTGTTAGTTAGGTCAACTAAAAAAGGTGACATTTATCTTCACAATACAAGGTTTTATCTCGATTTCTGTCAATTTTTTCTCGATTAATTTTGACTTTTTATTCAACAAAACACTTTATGTGTAGAATTTATATTTTAATATTTTTTAATCAATTATCGCAAACACTACTAACGTAGCCTTATCTACCAAACGAATCTCATCCAAGAAGGATGAGGTAGGGTGTAGAAAAAGCTGGTGGAGCTTCTTGAGGTATTCTTTAAAGGGTAGTTATTTGGATTAAATTTGTTTTTATCAAAGTTGATGATTAAATGTATTTTTAATGTTTAATTTTGCAGTGGGTCACAATATAAAATGAAATTCACCGACAATTCAACGACAACAATTCATTTTACTAATAAATTTGGTCAATAAATTTAGTCTAAGTGTCCAAATTACACTATTATTTTAGAAAGAATTCTTTCCACTCTTTGACTAAATAGCTAGTAAATAATAATTAATGCTCATAATTTCCCTTCCCTAAAAGGAGAAAAAAAGAAATATATTTAAAAAAAGGTAAAAGCATAAATTGGCTAAGATTCATGGTGTATTTTCATATTTATTAAGAGCAAATGATGTTTAGACATAATTTATTGACATGATCATTCATAATTATCGGATGAGTAATGCTATTGAGATCTAATTTACTGATATAATTTGTTGATCTAATTCATTATGACCTTTGAATTCACTGTAGAATCCATTAAATATTGAAACTTGGTGTTGATCAAATGATTTTTATGAAACCATATCATTATGTTAGCAAATTAGATCAAATTTTTAGGTTAAAATAATATTGGATTGAGAGTGGACGCCATTATTTGTTAGTATTCATAGTCGATTTAATGGTTGTGATGAATTATATTAACAAATTAAGTTAAAATAACAATATAAAAAAATAATTTAATTTACGAACATAATAAAGTATTACGTTGTATAGTTCCATCGAAGAAGTTCAACAGTTAAAGATGATAATAATAATATTAGGCCATGTCACTCTCGCATCATTACGTAGGTCCCATAGCTTTACTTAAAACAAAAACACTTGGGCATCCTCAATTAAAATTGTCTAAATCAAATCACACACGGATTTAATGGGAGAATTGTTTTTTTCCAAATGAGTCATAATCTCATTAAATTACATTGTAAACTTCCAACAAAAGCATATAATTTTATATTAGAAATCTAATTAAATTAATCATGCTTCTATATTGATTTCCCAAACAAATCCAACACAAACCCAACTCCCCCTCGCCCCCTACATTGCACTATGGTCGAATCCATCCAAGCTTTCCAACTCGTGTCAGAAATAAAAATCACAATATGTGGCACTAAACATGTGAATCCCCCCACCGCCACCCCATAAGACTCTCTCTCTCTCTCTCTCTCTCACACACACACACACACTGACACACAGTTGTACATATATAACCCCACATCTCAGACAAGTTGTCTGCATTACTCATCTTTACCTTCAACCTTTTGCTGCAAAATCCCAAATGGGTTTTGGACTCCAAGCCTTGTCAACTCTGTTTCTTCAAGCCTTGTCATTTCTGTTGATTGTGTCTCTGTTTTTCCAAGAAGCTAGAACAGAGCTAGTACATAATAATGGGACTGGTTTGAGAGGAAGAGAGATATTGAGTGGTTGCAATTTGTTTCAAGGCCAATGGGTAGTTGATCCTTCATATCCTCTGTATGATTCTTCAAGGTGCCCATTCATAGACCCTGAGTTTGATTGCCTAAAGTATGGCCGCCCTGATAAGCAGTACCTCAAGTACTCTTGGAAACCTGACTCTTGCAACTTACCCAGGTACACCCCTCTCTTACTTCATATGCTACTCTCTGTGTGTGTGTGCGCGCAATAAAGCAATACCCAACATGGATAAATATGGGTCTGGTAAAAACACAAACAAATAGACACCTAGGTACTCTGTGAATTCTGTCCGTAGAAGTTGATTGTTGAGTTGTTTGTATCCCAATGTTTCGGCGCTGAAGAACTATTTTTGATCCGAGATTGAAAAAAAGAGAATTAGTCGAAGTAGACGTAAATTTTTTTAAACTGCCGTGACCCTTAAACAAAAAAATAATCCTGTTCAACTACTGTTCAAGTCGTCTTTTAAGTTTAAAGTGGAGATAACTCGTTCCACAAGACTCAAATTACAAAGATAAATAATCTTAATTAAGAAAAAAAAAATAGTGGAGACAAATATTGGGTATATATTAATATCCTAAGCAGAGTTGAAACAATTTTGTGGTTGTAGGTTTAATGGCATGGAGTTTCTGAGGACATGGAGGGGGAAGAAAATAATGTTTGTGGGTGACTCACTGAGTTTGAACCAGTGGCAGTCTTTGGCTTGTATGATTCATGCGTCGGTGCCAAATACAAGGACTAAATTTGACAGGCAGGACACACTCTCTTCTGTGACCTTTGAGGTCAGTTTAGTATTTCCCCTTTTATGTATTGAAAAAATATCAAATTCTTTACTGTTTTTTATTTTTCGGGACATATATTTGCACCAAAATTTTGTATCAAATTCGATGTCAGCCGTTAGATTGGTGAGTCTAGCTGTTATCCAACAGCTCATATCCATTTAGTGCACATATCATTGCTTTTATTTCTCACTGCATGTGTGTTTGTCTCTCTCTCTCTCTCTCTCTCTCTCTCTATTTGCAAACCCTTTCTTTTGTTGCTTCCAATATTCCTGTCAGTGAAAAAAAATTCCNCTCTCTCTCTCTCTCTCACACACACACACACACTGACACACAGTTGTACATATATAACCCCACATCTCAGACAAGTTGTCTGCATTACTCATCTTTACCTTCAACCTTTTGCTGCAAAATCCCAAATGGGTTTTGGACTCCAAGCCTTGTCAACTCTGTTTCTTCAAGCCTTGTCATTTCTGTTGATTGTGTCTCTGTTTTTCCAAGAAGCTAGAACAGAGCTAGTACATAATAATGGGACTGGTTTGAGAGGAAGAGAGATATTGAGTGGTTGCAATTTGTTTCAAGGCCAATGGGTAGTTGATCCTTCATATCCTCTGTATGATTCTTCAAGGTGCCCATTCATAGACCCTGAGTTTGATTGCCTAAAGTATGGCCGCCCTGATAAGCAGTACCTCAAGTACTCTTGGAAACCTGACTCTTGCAACTTACCCAGGTACACCCCTCTCTTACTTCATATGCTACTCTCTGTGTGTGTGTGCGCGCAATAAAGCAATACCCAACATGGATAAATATGGGTCTGGTAAAAACACAAACAAATAGACACCTAGGTACTCTGTGAATTCTGTCCGTAGAAGTTGATTGTTGAGTTGTTTGTATCCCAATGTTTCGGCGCTGAAGAACTATTTTTGATCCGAGATTGAAAAAAAGAGAATTAGTCGAAGTAGACGTAAATTTTTTTAAACTGCCGTGACCCTTAAACAAAAAAATAATCCTGTTCAACTACTGTTCAAGTCGTCTTTTAAGTTTAAAGTGGAGATAACTCGTTCCACAAGACTCAAATTACAAAGATAAATAATCTTAATTAAGAAAAAAAAAATAGTGGAGACAAATATTGGGTATATATTAATATCCTAAGCAGAGTTGAAACAATTTTGTGGTTGTAGGTTTAATGGCATGGAGTTTCTGAGGACATGGAGGGGGAAGAAAATAATGTTTGTGGGTGACTCACTGAGTTTGAACCAGTGGCAGTCTTTGGCTTGTATGATTCATGCGTCGGTGCCAAATACAAGGACTAAATTTGACAGGCAGGACACACTCTCTTCTGTGACCTTTGAGGTCAGTTTAGTATTTCCCCTTTTATGTATTGAAAAAATATCAAATTCTTTACTGTTTTTTATTTTTCGGGACATATATTTGCACCAAAATTTTGTATCAAATTCGATGTCAGCCGTTAGATTGGTGAGTCTAGCTGTTATCCAACAGCTCATATCCATTTAGTGCACATATCATTGCTTTTATTTCTCACTGCATGTGTGTTTGTCTCTCTCTCTCTCTCTCTCTCTCTCTCTATTTGCAAACCCTTTCTTTTGTTGCTTCCAATATTCCTGTCAGTGAAAAAAAATTCCAATATTAGTCGACTCACCCACAAATAGACGTGAGTATTATATATTCAAGTTAAATCGAGTCATTGATTTTATTTTGATTGATTGTAGCCGTTGATTATAAAATAATTCAAGTCAAATAAGATAACAGTAAGTAAACTCTACACGTGTTAAACTTTTATTGGATGGGTAGTAAATATATAGTCTATAACCGGACCCATATATGAATTAGACTAATGCTATTTAGATTTAAAAATTTAATCTAATTTGTTGACATAATGATGTGATTTAATAGGAATCATTAGATTGACACCAAGTTCTAATGTTTGATGCGGCCTACAGCCAATCCAAATGTCACGGTGAATTATGTCAACAAATTAAGTCAATTTTTTAAATCTTAATAGCATTACTCTATGAATTATAATATAAAATCACTTGACAATAATACTCTTGATTGTAGCAAATCTGGGCATAGTATTTTTTCCTATTCAATTCAGTAAGGTTGTTTCATACATCCTTTTCCGCGACGGTAAAACGTTGTTAAAAATATAAGTAATGTTATCCAATCTATATGAAAGTCAAAAAATTGTAATCTAAATGAATGTTATCTTTTCGATGAGTGAGTCTCATCGATTTTTTTAGTGAGATCCAATCATCTAACAATCATTCAAAGAATGATATGTATTTGAGTTGTAATTTTTAAGTTTCATTTAAACTGTATAGTATTTTTCGAACTTTTTCTGTAAAAATTACGATGTTTTGCTCTTCACACCGTTTTTGGCACATTTCTCAATAAACAAAAGGCATAGACACAAAGAAAACTAAAAGAAAGAAAAAGCAATAAAAAGAAAAAGGAAAGGAAATTAGTCTTCTTTCAAAAAGACAACCAAACACTCTCAAATACTTTGTCTAACAATGACATTGTCCAATGTAATGGTGAATTCATTATTCCTAGACAGCAAAAGGTTCATTTCATTTATTTTTGTTTCTTGATGATGTGGGGACACCAAAGTGAATAATGCTGTGAATACTATAACATTTTTACCCAATTTTTGAATACTAAAATGATGTGTCATGCTGACAGTCATTGGATGATTAACGAAAATCGGTAGAATTCACTAATTCAACCACACACATTGATTTGGTAGAGAAAATTGGTTTAAATTTTGATTAGTGTAGCATTGTTAGGGCTTGAAATAAAAAATGAAAAATGCTAAATAGACTTAAAAATTTGATTTGATAAATCACTACTATTAAATAGGTAGTGGGTCTCGGTATTTCCAATAAATATTAGGACCCACAGTTAAATTAATAACAAATATAATAACCACATCATCAAATTGAGTTTTTAAATCAATGGTTTAAGTTTGTATAATATTACTCATAAATAATTTCTCTCTTGTCCATACACAACATTAAAATAATAAAAGAATGGATTTGTGGAAGCTGCTATGAAATGGTTGCCATTGAAATTCTGCACAATCTCTTTACCTTTTCAAATCCCTTTCTACATTTTCTATTGCCTTTGGTTGATAATTGAGAGTAAAGTAGGAAAAGGGTTGTTAGCCACTTTACATGGTCCTTTTGGTTCATCAGCTTTTCTTGGACTTGGGTAGCTAATTCTCTGAAACATGGGGCTCTACTCCTTTTAGGAATTCTTAGTAGTTGACATTCACCATTGGCCTTCTGTTCAACTACCTTAGTTTAATCTACATGTGAAGGCCTTTAATTTGTCTCACAATGTTGTTAACCAACCAAGGACATTTATAGCCTGGCAAATAACTTCAGTAATAATCTAGCAAGCCTTGTATGTTGGACATTCTCAAAAACCATGTTTCTGCAATCACTGCTGTACTGAGTTTACACAAAAGCCCATGAAGCCCTGAGATTGGGTAAGTAATATTTGTATATTGTTTTCTGGATGAATACTCTAACAAGTACTCCCAACACCCTTTGGAAGGTTTTTTTTATCCCTGAATGGGTACGAATACAATACAGATCTCATTTTACACCTAGGGGGAGGGTATGGGTAGGACTGTTAATCGTGCCGAGTTTTGCGAGCTTGAACTCGATCCTGTCGAGCTCGTTTTTTAAAACGAGTTTAAAAAATTATTCAAATTCAACTTGTTTTAAAAATGAGCAGAGCCCGACTTGAGCTCGAATAGCTCGTCTATTTTACATATAAATAAGTCAAGTTTTGTAAATTGCAGCCGAGTTCTATTCGAGCCGAGACCAAGTAACTCGGCTCGGTTAACATTCCTAGGTATGGGGTCTCAAGTGCTAGAGAGGAAGAAAATGCCTGGTTAGAGAAAGTATATCATAAAGAGAGAAAAAGAAGAATGAAAGAGTAGAGAGAAGGAAATTTATGATGTTTTTTCCCACCTTGAAATTGCAGTAGTTTCCTACTTGAGTCACCAAACAGTTTTCTAGATATTGCATACATAATGATTGAAAATGATGTGCAATAGCAGATAGAATAGATGACATTTCCAACTCTAGGTGAATTAATTGTGGAGCAACTGACTATTGATGTGCAGGACTATGGAGTAACGTTATTTTTGTATCACACAACCTATTTAGTAGATATAGTACGAGAAAATATTGGACGAGTATTGAAATTGAACTCCATCCAAGCCGGCAATGCATGGAAAGGAATGGACATGTTAATATTCAACACGTGGCATTGGTGGACCCACAAAGGAAAATCTCAACCGTAAGATCTATCTTCTTCTTCGTCATCATCAACGTCATCATCATAATCATAATTATCGTGTGTTGCAGATGGGATTACGTGCAAGATGGGTCCACCATATCCAAGGATATGGACCGCTTGATTGCATTTTACAAAGGTTTGACAACATGGGCAAGATGGGTTGATTTCAATGTTGATCCTTCCAAAACCAAAGTATTCTTTCAGGGGATTTCTCCGACCCATTACGAGTAAGTTACTCATCAAATTTTATGAACCACCTATCCTGAATTTTGATAACAAATATATCAGAAGCATTATAATCCTGATTATTTCATGAATAAATCTCATCTTCTTCACAAATGAATGCAAATATACAATGCCTTATAAATTTCGTAAGGCTACAAAGTGATTGATTATATTAATTCCTATAATGCCAGAGGCAAGGAATGGAGTTCATCAAAAAAGGACTGCTATGGAGAGCTACAACCCCTATCAGGGTCAACTTACCCGGCAGGCGAGCCAGCGGCAGCTATTGTTGTTGGCAAAGTACTGAGTAGGATAAAAAAACCTGTTTACCTTCTTGACATCACGACACTCTCACAGTTGAGGAAAGATGCACACCCATCGACTTACGGTGGTACGCATTCAGGTGTAGACTGTAGCCATTGGTGCCTCGCTGGACTGCCTGATACTTGGAACCAGCTCCTCTATGCAGCTCTCCTAATGTGAGTGTTTGAAGAGATGAAGCAATTATTCCCAATTCGATTTTTACTTATAGCCATTGATAAAACAATCATCGAGATCATGAAGATTATATTTGCTCGCCAGAATTCGTAGATAATAAGGGCAGCAAGAATCAACTGTAAAGTCATTAGTTTCATATTCATAATTGCCTTGAATTGGAATAAGAACAGTACAAAATAGCAGTGTAAATTATGGAACTCTTAAGTGCTCTTTGATTTGTGTTTGTTTGCATCAGTTGTATTTCCTTAGTATTTCATTATCTTTGTCTAAACTTCTCCTGTTGTATTCATGTTGATTGAGATTAGTGGCTAAGCTGCTGTTCAAACTATTACTATTAAAGGTAGTTTAGTCATTCTCTAGCAGTTAATACTATTCTTTCTCTTTTATCATTTTCTCTATGCTTTGCAATCAAAACTTTCATGGTATTAGATCATGTTTTGATCTTAAATGCAATTAGGAATACACTGGTGTTCATAATAGAAACATCTAAAATCAACCTAGGGTTGACGTCATCATTGGCGACGACGTCATCAACCAGCGAGGCCAAACTCACCTGTTTGATCGATTTTTATGATTAGTTTTAGTTTTGAGTTTGTTTGATATGATTTTCTATTTTTTGAAAAATAGGTCCTAAATTCTTTGATCTGCGATTTCAACTAGTTTTTTTTTTTAGAATCCATTACTGCAAGCCACACCTGGTGTTGTTCACACATATCTGGTGGTCTTCTGGGTTGGCTTTGGTTGTTTGCACAATGTTTTGTGGATTCTGGTACTGTTTATTCATTGATTGAGATATCCTCTGCATATGGTTGCTGGTTTACGGTTTGCCTCGTTCTCTTGTTTGTTGTGTAGAGGTGATTTGCTGGTTGCTTCAACTTAGTTGGTTTGTGTATTTATTTATTTTTTTAGTTGGCTTGTGTATTTGTTATGTGTTTTGGACTGATTTATTGCGGGTCTTTTTGCGGGGTTCTTTATTCTTCTTGCTTTGGTGTTTCTGATTTGGTTGCTGGATACTTGTATAAGGATTTGAGCTTTTTGTATTGAATTTGGGTTAATTGAATTATCACGTACTTGTTTTAGATGGTTTGATTGTTGTTATTTGATTTTAGTCGCTGTAATTATTGTAAGTGGAAACTCTCATCAGTCCATCAGTTTGCAATTGTCTCTGATTACTAATCCGCTGCACAAGCTTTTCTTGTCTCAGCACCCTAATACTCTCTTAGTGTCTCATTCCATAGGTTCGTTCTTTTTGGATCTTTTAGGTATATCTCAAATTGCATAGGTCTTTGACTAAGGTGCTACATGTCATATGGCGAGTGATTCTTCTTTATTTGCATCTACCTTATCTCTTACATCTGTATCTGTGCTTACAACCAATGATATTCCAATATTCTTAGTTGGTGTTGGTTATATTATTTCTCGACAACTAACACTTCTTGATATTTATTATATTCCACAATTGACCTTAAATCTAATTTTAGTTAGTCAGTCATTTGACTCCGGATTTTAAGTTTATTTTTCTTCTTCTGGTTGTATTATGCAGGATCCATGTTCCAAGAAGCTCAATGGGACATGCAATGAAAGGTTGTATGTGTTGGATGAGCTGCATGTTCCTGATATTGTTGCTTTTGCCGTTGATTTATCTTCTTTTCATTTAAGTTCATAATTTTTTAGTCTTTATTTGTGGCATTTTCGTCTTGGTCATGTTTCTCATTTTTGTTTGAAGTTTTTTAGTCTTTAAATTACCCCACTTTGAATTACCCTCTTTTCAAGATTTTTTTTTCCGACAAACACACAAATGAAACATGCACAAATCTATACGGCTAAAGCTCAACACACTTTATGGAGAAGGACACACAAACCTACACCCTTCAAGCAATTGCTGACTGGAGGGGAGGAGAACAGGCCACTTATACTTTTCAAGGTTTGAATCTCAAAGAGTCCAATTAATGACTTTAATGACAAAGGTAGCCTAACCTGAGGTCTGTTACAAATCAAAACGTTAAAGATAAGAAGGCAACTTGTTAAGTCACATGTAGAGGATTCAAGTCTTGTTTTCGGCCACATCACGGCAGTGAGACCCCATCACGTACGGCATATAGACAAGTCTTGTTTTCGGCCATGTCACGGCTGTGAGACCCCAACTAAGTTTAATGTCTTCAACATGAAGATCAACTGATGTGAAGTATTGGTAAAGCGGAAGCAAATTAAAATACAGTTCGATCGATCCGCTCTGATCGGTCATTGATGAGTGATTTATTATTGAGTGAAAAAATAATGAAGATGATCTAAATTCATTATTTTCCATTGGAAAAGACGAGTTTTGAGTAGGGGTGCAACTCGGGCGGGTTGAACAGTCAACTCTAGGTATATAATCTTCAACCCTAACTTTAATCCTAACCCTAACCCTATCTTGGATTGGTAAATTCAACCTAAGCAATGCACGAGTTTAAATCGGGCAGACTTGAATTGAATTCGGGTTAATGATTTCAGGTTACTTTACGGACTGATTTCGGGTTAATGTTCTAAACCTAGTACATATATTACATAATATTCAAATAATTTAACAACCAATAAATTCAATCAAGTTTTTAACATAAAAATCATAATATTAAGAACTCAATGTAACTACAACCATACATAACACAAAGTCACAAACATTGCTGTTAGTGTAAAACATAACACTGCTACCAGTTTAACAGAAATAACAATGCTGCCTTGCACAGAACCAGTTTAAGAAAACACAAACATAAGAAAAATATAGTCTATCAGGGTAAGAAAATCAAATTAACCCTAGTATAAATTATAAAATTGTATTTATATAATAGTAATTCGGGTTGAATCCGAGGGGTCAACTCAAGGTCTGCTCAAATTGAATTTGAGTTGAGATTTTTTGACCTGAACCCAATCCAAGTATTAAAAACCCTTACCCAAGCTCTAATTTTTTCGTGTTGGATTCGAGTTGAAATTGGATTGTCCAATCCAAATTGCACCCCTAGTTTTGAGGAGCATTTTGCATACAAAACTAAAGCAAAATTGGATAGCAACAATTGAAATGTTGCAAGTTGGAGGTCGTTGCAAAATAGGTTGTTGTACTGGACAATAATTTTTTTTTTTTTGTAAGTACTTACTAAAAACCGAAAAGTATGCAAGAAAAGTCGTTAGAACACTCCCCTCCAGGGGTGGAAATAGAAATTTTCTTCAGGATTGACACTTTAAATACATACTTTAATTTTTTTTTACTAATCAATCATAATAAAATAACATATTTTTATTTATCATATCATATTTGATATGAAATCCGTTTAACATAAAAGGGCAAAGAAATGTATATTTTGTACACATAAAAAAATAATTATCACCGTCGTAAAAGGGAGGTAGATAGCCATTTTGTAATTAAAAAGCTATCAATTATCAGCTGATCATCCATTAAACTTATTCGATGAACTATCTTTCAAATATTATTATTGATATATTAGAATAGTAAAAATACTAAATTAAAATTTAAAAACTAAACATAGTAAAAATTTTGAAAATCGAATGACACATACTAAACATTACAATTAATTGTTGAATAAAAATAGAGGCAAGTTCTCGCAGAAAAATAGAAGTCAATTAAAGGTCAATTGTAAGCATTTTCACTTTCAAATTAAGAAAATAAAACTTATTAAACGTGGAGTAAATATTTGTGATGGTACTCAGAATAATTTCCAACCATAAGGTTGAACCAGGGGGTCAAATCAAGAGGTCAGACAAGCAGGTTTGGATAAGAAGGCAGGAAAGGCACGTAGAGCTCAAGTCAGAGCTAGATTCCCCCCCCCCCCCAATTACGCGCCAACAACGGAAGTGATAAGGAGACAACTGGATGATAACCGAAATCTGTTAGGTGGCAAAGAGTCATACACAAGGCATAAAATCCTTAACCAGCTAAGATCCTCTCCTAAGATCAAGGAGAAGTCCTCAGATGAATAACAAGGATCTCAGTGCAAATCCCATAGAACTAGGAATAACCCTATAAATATTATATAACTCTCCCAACGCAAGGGGAGAACCCTGATAACATATGTTCTATCCTGTAAATCTTCTGAATAGTTAGAAAAGAGAAAAAGAGCAATAATCTCCATTGAAGAGTGGACTAATCGAGCTTTTGAACTGGTGAACCACTATAATTTTATTGTGCAAGTCACCCTCAATCCCCCAGTAATCTTAAACACGAACTACACGAGCCTCGTAGCTCAGATCCCAGTTGCCAAGTGAAATCCATTCCCTCTGCTCATCCACACTAATTTACACCATCCATCTGCTCATCGACACTAATTTACACCATCAGTTTGGCACCGTCTGTGAGAATGATTGTTTCTGTTACAAATACGCTGATCTTTCAATGACTGATGATTTCAACCTGTAACATGAGCAGAAGCCAGACCAATCTACCACAGATGCAAGAACAATAGGAAGCCACCAACGATAGACAGCCTGAGAAAGTCCCAGAGACAAATCCCCCCATGGGGAACCCCCACTCAAATAATGAGTTAGAGGCCCTTTGCCTGGTTAATCAACGTCTGATACGGCAGAATGAAGAGCTCCTGAAGCTCTTGCAATGCCCTGAGGAGGCACAACCGGCCCAAGAAGGCCAGAATAACCCCCTTCACAGAGAGCAACAACATCTCTACCCTCTCAGAGAAGTTGGTGAAGGAGGAAAAAACAGTCAGACCTGGGGACAAGGTCCTCATCCACTCCCAAGGAACGGACGTAACGAAGAGGTGCAAAGTCAAAACGTTGGGAAAGAAAGGAATGATTTTCTCCCCTATCAACAAGAGAGTAGAGAGCAGTACTGGGAGCAGTGCTTTAATGACATCCAGCAAGAAGTCAGCCATATGAAGGCAGTTGTGAAGAACAAGGTTCCAGTTACAATGGATGCCCTGGTGCAACAAACTGAGTCACCATTCACCGCAGGCGTGTTGCATTTTCCCCTCCCCCCAAAATTCAGGATACTGTAGATAGAAGCTTTTGATGGGACAAAGGACCCCGTGGACCACCTAAATACCTATAAAAATTAGATAGAGCTCTACGGATACCAAGACCTAGTGCGCTATACAGCCTTCACCATCACGCTAAAAGGGTCAGCCCTGACATGGTTCAATAGGCTGCCCCTGGCCTCAATCTCCTCCTTTAAAGTGCTTTCTATATCCATCGTATCTCACTTCATAGGAGCTCGGATATACAGGAAGCCGAGCTACCACTTATTGAACGTGAAGCAAGGACCCCAAGAGAACCTGAGGTCTTATGTCCAGCGGTTTAACTCGGAGTCCCTGAAAGCGGATGTCCCAGATGAGAAGTTTGTCATTACGACGTTTATAGCTGGTCTAGGCGTACAATCCAAAGATCTGATGTTCTCTATTTCAAAGAACCTTCAGGCAAGCATGACTGAGGTATTGGCTATGGCAGAAAAATGCATAAACGGTGAATAAGCCTTTCTCTCAAAGGTGGGAAGTTCATCTACGCAAAAAGACAAAGGGAAAGAGGAAAAGAAAAGGGACCGAAGTCCCAGAAGAGAAAGAAAGCGTGATAGATCTCCAAAAAGGGACAGAGATCGCTCCCCTAAAAGGAGGAGAGATGTCAGAGATCGCTTAGGTCTGCCACAGCCAGAGCTACAGCCAAGGTACGCACCTCGGCAGCTCCCCCCACTCACTGCAATGATATCTCAGATCTTATATAAGGTGTAGAGCGAGAAGTTTCTAAGGTGGCCACCTCGGATAAAAGCAGACCCAGCAAAGGGAGATCCCACAAAGTATTATGAATACCATAGAGATCATGACCACCATACTGATGATTGTATCCAACTGAAGAAAGAGATTGAGTTCCTAATCCAACGAGGTCAGTTGTGCTGTTATGTAGCTCAAGATAATCAGGACCGAGCCCCTCCACCTCCACCACCTCAGCAACAGGCTCCTGTGTTGCATCAACAATCCCTGGGCAAAATTAGAGTAATTTCTGGAGGGTCCGCAGGGGGTGGGGAGTCCAGTTTTGCCCAGAAGGCTCATCTGCGCAGAATCAGAGTTGGCAAAGCGTTGAAAATACACACTGTGTCCAAGGCACCTCGACTGAACACGAACATCACTTTTTTAGACTCAGACTTGGAAGGCTACCAACACCCCCATGATAACCCACTAGTGGTAAGAGCTGTTGTGGCTAATAGAACTGTTTACCAAGTTTTAATTGACAACGGGAGCTTAGCAGATATTATATTCGTTTCTGCGTTTGACAAAATGGGCATAAGTATGGAAAAGCTGGAGCGGGTCAGTGTTCACCTGCCGGGTTTCGCAGGAGAGAGGGTATTGCCTCTGGGTTCAATCCGGCTTGTCCTCACTATGGGAGAATCTCCCTGCCAGGCTGCCACCACAGTAAGGTTCCTAGAGGTGGATGCCCCTTCTGCATATAATATGCTTCTCGGGAGGCCCTCCCTCAATGCGCTGAAGGCAATCCCCTCTGCCTATCACTTGGTTATGAAATTTTCTACAGAAAATGAAGTTGGAGTGATCCGAGGAGACCAATAGGTAGCAAGGGAGTGCTACATGACCTCGATGAAATAAAAAGAAAGTCGAGAATGTCCAGCTAGATGAGCTAGATATGAGGGACGAACTGTATACTAGGCTAACACCATCAGAAGAGCTAGAGCCTGTTCAGCTTGATAAGGAGCCAGAACACCTTGTTTACGTCGGGTCTAAGCTAAGCAAGGAAATAAAAGATCTCCTCATCCAATTCCTAAAGGAGAATAGGGGAGTATTTGCCTGGAAGCAAGAAGACA